TGCATCGCCATCTTGGAAAAATGGCGGCCAAAAACAGATTTTTCTGTGCATTTTACAAGAAAACCATTAACTACAAAATTAAACTAGGCTTACAGTTTTCTGCAATTTATGTCTTGATATGATAGGTAGCTTCATTGTAATAACTTTTGGCGACACAACACCGCAAAGCACATTTTTGCGAGGATTTTGGGGAAAAAATCCACACCACGTGAAAGTAGAGCAAGCGGTGCGTTTCGAGCGTGCGAAAGTAGAGTATACAAAGGTGGAAAATGGAAATCGAAAAGAGCACATCAATATCTATAAAATTACCGATTTTCAAAACTCCTAGAAAACATACCAGGTAAAACTACCAAAGTACTGAACTAAAATGTAAGTAATGAAACTGTAGTACGGGTAACCTATCATAAGAGCCGACCACCTACGTATAGTACATAATTGTTTAATACCGACTGGCTAGCAGCTACAGTCCTTCACAATAAACCCAAACCTTTTAAATTTTCTCCAATCAGGGCAATCAGACTTGGTGATTATGGCAAACTAAAACTTATTACGTAGGTAACTCCTACATGGAGCTTTATTTTAGGGGTAAAATCATCTAATGACTTATCCCGCCCGGGTCAGGACTTTTTTTTTTAAGGGGGGAAAATCATCGAATGACTGCTCCCGCTTGGGTGAGGCGGGAGGGAGTGTCAGACTCTTACTGACTAAAAACCACCCCGTTCCTTCTCCTGCACGTCGAGCCGAGCCGTTAGGTTCTAGACCGTGCTCCCCGTGCTACCCGTGTTCGCCGTCCGTAGGCCCGTGCTTACGGTGGCCGGAGGTGGTCTCGCGATCCCCGACGCCCGGAGTGTCTCTCGCGACGGCTGGTGCGTGAGAAGATTCGTTCCCTCACGCGCCCCGCCTCCTCCTTAGCTAGCATGACTGCTTTGCAGAAGGAGGAGACGGCATCCCATCGCTCCGTGACATGGTCTGAACCAGAGCCGGACGCGACAGGTCGCCGTCACCGACCACATCCCTGAGAACACGGCGGTGCTCAGCCCACGCAGGACACACGGCTACCGTATGCTCCACCATGTCCTCCGGGCGGCCCCGCAGTGATATCTATGTACATGAAACTAGAGTTCGATTCCAACTGTAATTGCTGTTCCGAGGCTTTATGTCTAGGTGTAGTTATATAAGTACCTACAATGAATGTATTTGACATTAGATGGTATGATAGGGTGGTAGAGTAATTTAAAAAAACATGTCAAATAGCCACGGAAAACTTACCTACACACAACTTATAAAAATAAACCTGTGTGTATGATTATCGCGTCTTGTTACTTATTAACCTACTGCTACCTAGTTTTGAGTATTATTTAATATTTCTTTATATTACAATATCATTTCATGTACAGTCAATAAAGCAATAGCCATAGTACACAAATCGTACTAGTTCTAATTACGTTTTTCTACGTACCTATAGTAAATTTTATAGCGCCTTATCAAACTGTTATAGCATCATTACATTTAGGCGTCAATTTATATAAGTTTAGGCGTTTAAATAACGGACGAATAAGAATCCGTTCATGGCTTACACACGAGCGTATGATACCAACGGCAGAGGCCACATTTTAAACTATCAAGATCAGTGGCAGCCGTTGCCGTGGGCTCTTATAGTATAGGAGTCAGGTGACTCCTAGGCTATACAGTATAAGTACTCCTATATGCTGCTATCACTATCATCATCAATAGCCGGAAGATATCCACTGTTGGATAAAGGCTTCCATGTAGAGGACTGAACATCAAATGAGAAAAACAAAAAATCTTCGAAGACTTAAAGCTTCAGTGATCGTAAAGCAAACTATTTCCAAAAATTAGGTATATTCATAAATTGTATAATTAGTAGATACATATCTCGGCCTATTTATACTTTTAGAAAATAAAAACTAAATATACTTAAATTTAGGCGCTGATCAACATAAATTAATTACTTATTTTAAATCAATTAAAAACAAATGTACCTAACTGTAGGAACATTGCAGTTGAATACTTATTTTGTAATGTAAAACCACCACACGGCCAGTTTTATTTAAAAAAAAAAATACAAATTTAGAAATAGAATACGACAGCAACACATTACTTTATATTTAGAAAAAAAAAACAACTATACATAGATACGTTCAACAACAATCGAAAATCAACTTTAAAACGTTAGAACAAAGTCGCATTTCAAATAAAACTATAAAGTCATGGTAATTTAAATATGGTGGAAGGTAATCAGTTTGAGATAGCTAAAGCACCTTCTTCTAATTAACTCCTGACAACCGTGATACGGAATGAATTGTTCTCCCAACTAATTACCTACTTAATTAAGTGATTACTTGTTTGTTAGACACAAAAAACAAAGCGATGCAAATTGCCCTTTCCGCGAAGTTTATTTTTAACTTAACGGATATGCGTAGGTACTGTACCATATCTGTTTAAACTTTAAAATATTAAATACTAGCTTTTACCCGTGGCTTCCTCGCGTCACAAAAGGATCAAAAGCCTATGTGACATATACCAACACACACAGCGCCATCTATAAGTACCAATACTTTTGTTTTCCCTCGGGAATATCAAATTTTTCCGGGATAAAAGTACCCTATTATTTAATCCAGACTTCTAACTCTACGTCCGCAAAAATTCAAAGCTATTGGTTTAGTAGTTACGGCGTGAAAGCGGAACAAACAAACAAACTCACTTTCCGATTTATAATATTAGTAAGAATGCCATTGGTCAAAAATAAATTCCGTAAAATGAGGTGGATAAGGATCGAGAGGTGAATAGAGACAAAAGAAGGGTGAATAGATATTGGGAAATTCTTCATAGGATCGATTCACCCCTCTTCTGTATCTATTCACCTCTCGATTCCTATTCACCCCATTTTACGTTTCTATGTTTATTGTTTAGCTCATAAAGTTTATATTTATTTATAGACCCTATGAGTAACCTCAATTTTTTATTACTCAAACTATATGTAGAGTTTTTCTCGAATGTTTCGCGTACATTATGTAGATACTAGTTTCAAGTTACACCGCTACTTTTATCGTGTTTAACTGACATCGGTTGGCGTTGGCCTGCGTTTAGTCACTAAGGCCTACTGTCCCTTATCTAGTCCCTTACTCTTCTAGTAGCGAGAACTTAATATCAAAAGCTGACAAGGTTTACTTTACAACTTGCACAATTTGCTTGCCTAGACCATCGCGGATGGGGCCTAATTGAGCTGATGCCGATACGGAGCCGCGGACAACTTAACGGGTTACCGAGGCTCCGGCTCGAAGTGCAGAAGTAGGAATGGGGTGGTTTTTAGTCAGTAAGAGTCTGACACTCTCTCCCGCCTCACCCAGGCGGGAGAAATCATTAGATGATTTTCACCCCTTAAAAAATGCCCTATAACATGGGACTCATAATATAACTGGTAAAAAATGTTACATTACAAATGTGCACCACTGCCTATTTCAATGATTAAAACGCGTGACGTTATTATTATTGTCATTGCAATTAAAATATTGATGCAGACTTTTTGGCAAAAATCTTAGTATAAAAAAAATATACTACGCTTTCGTAGAGTCCGCTACGAGTAGACGTAGCTTTGCGTAGCCTACACGTCGCAGACGGGGCGTAGAATAGGCTACGCGTGGTAGATGCATACGTACAGTATTGGAATATGTATCACAGACATTGTAGAACATAGGTACTTTTTTAAAAAGAGTAACGAATGGAGTATCTTGCTCGTTCTTCTCCATTCGAATCTACATTTTGGAATGAGCACGTAGCTTCACGTAGCTTCACTGACTGACAGACTATTATTTATTTTCTTATTTGTTGACGTTTCAAAAGTGCCAAAGTACCTATGGTTTAAACTGTAAAACACCGCAAAGACACCGGTGACCGCAACCTATTGTTCTTTAATTGTGTCTGTAATGGCGATACTCAACGAGTTAATTGAAATAAATGCTTTGACTTTGACTTTGAAACCTGGGCTTACCATTTCTAATTATAAGTTTGAAATCGCCAACTCACATTGAGCAAGCGTGGTGATTAATGCTTAAACCGTGTGAGAAAAGGACTTTGGTCAGCAGTGGACACTTATAGGCTGTTGATATTAATGTAAATGTTCTATAAAGACTAGGAGTACTTAATTATTGTACGTATTATTTATTTACTTGTGTATATAGTGGGAATCATTACTTAATGGTCTCAATCTATAACCCACTATTCAATACAACACGCCTCCAAAAGTTTCGCAATGCAAATAATAGGTACTTGTTAATTTACACCGCATTACTTATGTACAATAATTAGCATTTTGTTTTGGAGATCCACGATCCATTCATATGCAAATATTCGTTCGTCACTTGGCAAACTTACAAATTGTACGTACCCTGACACGAGACACGTACCTACACCATACTCCGCTGTCGATTGAAGCTTAAATTCAAGTCAAAATAAACAGTGAAAGTAAGCAAGGAAAACGGACTTTGTTCCACAGCGTAGAACCGTTGCATAATTCATACTTAGGCCGACCTGTTTAGTACGTACTCGCTACAATAAATATTTTAATTCCCAATCATTACCTCCGTAGCTTCCGAAACAACGCCGGCATCGCGCATGGCCCAGGAAATGCGAAAATATACAAGGAACAAGGTTAAACTGTAGTAAAATTTTCACGCGCCCTTGACTCTTGATTCGTCGATACAACTTGCTAGCTTTGACCTTATTGGCCAGCTGGGCCGACAATGCGGCATTGCGCTGAACTCTACGTGTAACCGAACTTTCTTCTGAAACTAAAAAGACGTGTTTATCCACACAACTGTGTGAGGTAGGTATTCCGTCTCGGTATAGAAACATTCGAAAATAGACGTTAATGTAACTCGGTAGAGTAGATATTAATTTGGCTGGTTTTGTAAATACTACTGCAGTCATTCATGTGTTGTGCCATCTCACATCTGGCAGTACACATTCGTGGTACCATGGAGCGGTCGCGCCACTCCGGCTAAAATATAATTCCGAACTCGTTTGTTTATTTTTTTTTACGCAAGTGACAGTTGTAGAGGCAAAGGAATTTAGTTTATACAATTACTCATGCTGTGATTTCGACTCGAAAGAGTGTGGTGTTCTATATTTAAATCGGCGTTTTCAACAATATGGTAAGTTGGCACTTGTTCCAATTTTGTTTATTTGTTTGTTTTATTCGGGTTTGTTAGGAAAAAAGTGAAATAAGGAAAGATTTTTTTCAATCCATGAAAGAATCTTCATATTTTCAACGATTTCTAGTGACCTCAGAAAATGAATTCATGATACTGATTATTATTTATTTATTCGCTTAAGCATGCGTATACTATTGTAAGTGCTACTTAAGTGTATTTTGATAGGCAAAACATCCGTTAGTATGTATTACTTAACACTAATAAGTGCCCATTAAGGTAAACACATTGCCCCATTGGACAGGTAGGTACCATACAACATATATTTTCCTAATAATATGACACGACAACATGAATTTTATTACTCAGATTTTAATATGCAATAAATAATAATTCATAAACATTAAATTAATCTTTAAGATTATTTTTTACATTTATAAAATTAATTTTATCATGTTATTCGATAATACTTAATCTTCTATTCGATTACTCAATCAATCGATGAATAAATTAATTGTCTATGAATAATTCTTTTTTCAAATATCGTGGTTTCGTGAATGCAGTGTGCCAGTGTTGATGCAACTCTTTAATTAGGTTCAATAGACTACTAACCTTCTTTATACATATGAGTCCGTACTTAAAGTACCACTTACGCACTATTTACGCTGATTGCAAACTGAATATGTCAGTGTCTTGAAGAACAAAACAATATAGGCTGAAGTTTACACACGACGATAATAGGTACGTGTTAAACTCGACATCGAGTTACACTGCTGTCTCTACTGTTCTGATACTTATGTTAACGCTAAGTAATCCTTCAATGTATTATTATATAGTGTGAATTAAAGATTTTAGGTGTAAATCTTTCATAAACTACGTTTAAAAGACCGACTTCAACTTTCTCTTTTTTATTAAATTGATTGATTAATATACTAAAACTTTCTCCTAAGTATAAGTGTTTCACTAAAGTGTAAGTGTATGTGTTTCTGAAAACCCGCATCAAAATCGGTTAAGCTAATCGCGAGGTAATCACGCACAAACATAAGTACTTACACACATACAGTTTAAACTGTTAACCTCCTTCTATTTTTGAAGTTGGTTAAAATTTTATAAAGAGTTGAAAGCATTTAAACATCACATCCATAGATTAGATTTGATGAATATCCATAGATTGGATTTGGTTTGTAGTATGTAGGCGAGTATGTAACAAATTCTTAGATCTTAGACATCTTAAATAGGAGCTTTTTGACTCGTTCTTAGTGTTTTTGAGATCTAATTAAATCCTTATTTATCGTGATAAAATCCCCAATCCCTAAATACCCAACAATCCTCGAATTCCTAATCCCAAAAAGGCCGGTAACGCACTTGTAACGCCTCTGGTGTTCCAGGTGTCCATGGGCGACGCCGATTACTTACCATCAGGTGATTCGTAATATTTTTACTTGTTGCTCAGCTACTGGCCAGTAACCTGAGATTCATAATTCAAACAAAAAATACAGCCGATCCTTTTTTAAATCACTTGAGCGATGAGAACAAAGCAACAAAGACTTCTGTTGTACAAAGTCTTAGGTACATATATAAAGAAATAAAATAAACATATGTACCTACATACATATTGTATAATTATTTTCCTATATTTAATTTTAATGTTTATTTTAATTATATATCAATGTATGATCAAAACTCACAAGTGTTAAACGTTTACACCTACTATTGTGTCTCTCTGCACCACCCTAAGGTTGACTGTTAGAGAATGCTACGAGGCATTAAGTCCGCCATTGTATACCTAGAAGAAATGTAAATAAATAAAAAAAAACCTTAAAGATTTATTTATTTATATAAAACCTTACCTAACCTATGATGACAGGTTTCTCTATTGCGATAGCTACGCCTTAAAAAACTAAATCTATACATATAACAAAATCATAAAGAAAAACAAAACAAATTCTTGAACAAATTCTTGGCTAAACTAAAATATACAAAACCAATAAAAAAAAACAAAACAATTACTTATTTAAATTTAAAAAACTTAAGAGATAAAAGCGTTATTTTATTATTACTGGCGAGAATAAGAAGGGAAGTTCATTTAGCAATACACATTAATTGTATAATGCACGGTTGTCGCGACCCGGGAATCGAGCCCGAAACCGCTAGGCCAATGAGGCAGTTAACGACAAAATATTGACTCAATATAATATAAATAATAATGTTGTTTATATAACTTTGAAGTTACAAGGTGCGTGCTGAGCTTGCACTAATCGCGTCCATTATTCTGCTTTCTGATTGTTTCGGTCGCCACTCGGCATATCTCCAAGGTCATTTCCATGGTTTACCTTTGAGGTCATAGGTCAGTTATTTAGCTTTTTGAATACGGTTAAAGTGTTTTAGTTATTTTGTTAAATAAGTGTTTATGAAAATTGAATGAGAGAAGGAATGGTTTAAAATGTAAGCTATTACTATTATTGGGAATTATCGTTTCAAAAAGGTTTCGGCTGTCGTGCAAAGTACTATTGATACCTCCAACTGCAAAATTCTCAGTAGTATAAATAAATAGGACATCAACTGTACCTCTAATTGTTGTGGTTCTGTGATTTTTTTATTTTTTTCACAAAACAGAAATGAATGGCGGACTTTATGCCATAAGGCATTCTCTTACAGTCAACTAGAGTGAAGTGCAGAGAAAAGAGAAATGAAGAGGTTGATGAGAAGCCAGAACACAATAAAAAAAATGTTAAGTAATTTATATACTACACACATAAATATGTATACCTCTAGAATAAATATATTTAATACAATATTTTATAAATCTGTATAGACATACATACTATATTTTTAAAACTGATTTTAAACACATTCTATAGATAAATAATTCAGCCCTTAGGGACAATTCGGCAACTGGGCGTGGGTCGCGAGGTGGCGCTCCACAAGTCCGAGGCCATGTGTTTTCATGACTGTACAACATGTGGAACATGCCACCTCCGATTGAGTCCCAAATAACGGCGGGAGGGGTTACCATCGGGGTCGAGACGACGATGAAGTACCTAGGACTCGTCCTCGACAGTCGGTGGAACTTCGTGGAACACTTCCGACTTTTGGCTCCTAAGTTGGAACGGACGGGGGCGGCCAAGACAGCCCTAATAATAATATAACTATAATAAGATTACGTTAGCCAACAAAAGTAAAAAGGATACACCAGTCTTTAACTTAAGTATTCCTTGGAATAAAAGTTATGATATAATAAACCACCTAGATAAAATGATTAAGTATGTGGTTCACCTCCCAAGGAAGATGCGACGGCAATAAATTTGCTAAAACTTGATGGCATTGTGCCTATAAGTGTCATTGTGCTCAAAACACATAAATCTGCACGGCCTAGTGATATCCTCGTTTGTTAAACTTCACTATGTCATTGGTTGTGCAAGTAGAGATAAATATATATATTTTTTTATAATAAATGTTGTCCCTTGAGAGAAAATCCTAGTGCCTGGGAGCCTGGTAATAGGATTGTCTCTTGTGCGTTTACAAACATACAAATTCACATTCATACTCATGACAGTCACACCTATGCTATTTGTTGCACACTATGGTTAGATGGTTCTGCAGGTATGGGGCCCAATAGGACTGATGCCGATACGGAGCCGCGGAGGGCTTAACGGGTTACAGGGGCTCCGGCTCGAAGTGCAGGAGTAGGATCAGGGTGGTTTTTAGTCAGTAAAAGGTTGAGAAAAGGAATGAAAGTGGGATTACGAAAGGATTTTACAAATAATCTACCTATCTATGTTACAAAATCTTAAAACTTTCATCTAGAATCTCTGAATCCATCTGGGATTTTACATAAGTTCAAAAAGAACATTTATTTTTTTTCAATCGTCACCAATCTTTTAAAAAGTTGCGTTAAAATACTCAAACGCCACTCAATTTGAAGTCGCGCTTAAATATCTATAGTTCTGTCGCGACAAATTCTTTAAATAATAAATAAATAAAATGATTATTTGGTGTAAAAATCCAGATTACAAAAAAAATCTTACCATCTAAACAAATTCTACAATTTATATGTAAAACCTGAACTAGGTCCAATTCTGTGTTTCAGGTTAAAAATGTGCTGACATATTTAAAATACAATAATATTGCTTATAAATCTAAAAATTTTATGTCTAAATTAAATTAAGTAAGTATCTAAGTATAACAGGTGCGCTTTGTAAAATGACAGAGATGGAACGATATTTAAGTACCTACAACGTAATATTAAGTAGCCCTTCAGTATTTAGGCGTTAGCTATTTAGTTAGTTCGTTAACATTCAGATCCTAGTAGTTATTAATAAAAATATGAACCTATACATAAGGTTGTAGGCACCATGGAGGCAAATGGAACAAACCTATTTGATAGATTTTTGTTTAATACGAACATATTCTGAAAATGTCCATGACTGCAGTAGTCCCTTTAACTACAGCACTATGTTCTGTCCTTGTCAGTTTGTCAGAAGTTCTACCGTAAAATCTGAATTACGTTTCAAAAGAAAAACTTATTTGTTATTCAGTCTTGTAAAGGACGTTATACATTTATCTTTCGGGTTTTTCTCAGGGTCATGTCAAGTTTCTTCAAGATTCAGTTGATTTTAGTGTATTGAATGACCTAGCTAACAATTTGATTTAGGTAGCGACCTGCGATGAAGGAAAAGGAAATATTTGACTAGCTTATAGCAGCGGCTACGCCCGCAGTGTGATGAAAACTAAAAACCCTTAATCTACCCTGTGCTCTGTTCCAAATTTCATCTCGAATCTTTCAGCTGTTTTGACGTGAAAGAGTAACAAACAAAAATACCAACGTTCACAATTAATAGGATAAGATGGTGCGAAAAAAGGGTATATAATATTAATAATAAATCTATATTCATAATAACAATGGCCAACATAGGTATAAAAATAACTTAATTAAGCGACAAGATCTTACAAATTAATATGCCTAGGTATACTAGGAATATTCTGTTGACTGCCTCGTTGAC